CTCAAAATCGATTTATCAGTTGAGAGACTTCTGTCGTTGACTTTTTTTTCAATTAAACTAATCATATCTCTTTTTTTAAGATGAAATAATACCATCATCAAATTCCGAAACAAATGCAACAACGGATTGTCCTTATTGTGATTATAAAACAACTGATATTGAACAATTTAAACTCCATATTATAGCTCATATACGTGATAAAAATTATCGATGTTTATTATGTAATCGTTTATATAAATATCGGGGTATGATTAAAAATTTTTTGTATACTTGTTTTTCTTTTTAACTCATTAATTTCTCATTATTATACAAAAAAAAGGTGATTGCTCATTCCATATACGTCGTAAACATCATCGATATAGTACAAATTCCAATGATTATATACAACGTTTTTTATTTGATACAACAGATGGTGATGAAACAATGTCAAAACAATCCGGTGGACAACATGGAACATCAATGAATAGTTCAATTCACAATGTAAGTACATCACGTGAACAAGATGAACCTGTACGTTATTTTGGTTGTCCTTATTGTGATTATACATCAAATTACGGTGGAGATGTTCGGTAAAATGAAATATTCTTTAAGTTTATTTTGTTTATGTATGTGTTTTTTTTTTCTATAGAAAACATCAAGCACGTAAACATCCAAATGTTGAATCCAAAGTTATAAAAATAATTCGACAAGATTCTGAACATCAAATATCTTCATCATCATCATTAAATAATAATAATAATAATAATAATCTCCACAATATATCAAATGATGATGTACCTGATGATGACAATCATGAACAAGATGATAAAAATACAATAACTAAATCAAATATCAATTTAATTGAGCAACAAGAACGTAAAGAAAAAATAAAAACAATTAAAAAAACTGATGCAAATTTTATTCAACAACATTCATCAACATTATCTATATTACCAAATTTTGCACCTGTTCGAGTTTTTCAATGTAGTTCATGTCATCAACAAGGAACATATAAATGGGTTGTTGAAAGACATATACGTGCGAAACATCCCGAACAACCAGATGTACATGTTATTGAATTACCAGCTGAATTAGCTGTTAAATTACAAAAAATAACTCCACCATTAAAACGTTTTCGTTGTTCATTATGTCCATTACAATCGAAACATACATGGGTTATTATTCGTGTATGTATTTAAAATTTATTTAAAAAACAAAAAAAAAATAAACATTCAATAATGTTTTCATATTTTTTAGCATATTAAACATTTTCATACATTACAAACAGCATCTGTTCTAGATATACAACCGGATGGTACACCAATAAATGACGAATCCTATTCATTTCAAAATGGTAAATATCATTTTATTTTCAAATAACTTCTATCTACGAAATAGAAGAGTTCAAATACTTTGTTTCGCATGACTGTGTTTCATTCTGTACTAATCTATGAGTACGAATAATAAATGGGAGAAAGAATCATTTTGAGTATAAATAGTAGGACATAATTGCGTCGCTTGAGAATGGTGTATCAAACAAATAATAAATAATCACAAAGTCATTGAGGTCAAGTCCTCAACTAATATACATTATGGTCGCTAATATTGTCTGTAAATATGAAGATCTGTATTCTTAGAAAAAAAAAAGACTAAGAGAGTTTGCAATGAGGTGACTCTACTTTCAGTAGATATAAATGTTTCTTGTTCGATAGTAAGAGAAAAATCATATCAATAAAATTTATATTACTCGTAATAGAGCCGTCCTAACAAGAAACATGAAATTTGATTAAAAACTTTCAAGATATTCTAAGAACAACTAGATCTATCTACTAGAAAAATCTCACATCAAAATTCTTTAATTCAATTTTTTCGAAAAAGCTTGCCTGAGAAGTTCGAATAGTGTTCATATTTTATATGATTTCTCTTTTTTTTGTGAAATACGATCTAAAAGGAGTGTTGAAATATAAAGGATAGAAATCTGCACTCCTCATTACAATCGAAGACAGACAACGATCGACAGACCGTGGCAGACATGTTAGAAACAGGTCATCACAAACATGTAAGACATTTTAGTAACGACAACATACGTGACAGACGTAGTTGATCTATGATCAAAGATCACACATCAATAACGTCTTGTTATAATATCTAAACTACTTTTTATTACATTTCTAAAGGATTAAATAGAATGACGGTGATGAAAAGTGTTCTAAAATAGAAAAAGTAATCTCTCTGTGATTTGGAATGGCAACTACATCGTGTTTCACATTTTGAATTCCATACGGATTGTGCTAATAGCTTTTGAAAAAAAAATGAGTATACTTACATTTATTGACAGCAGTCACTTCAGTCCAAAGTCTCTTATCTCATGAGTCAAAAATAACGAAGCAACTACATCTGTTACATATGATTTCGCATGGAATTCTCTCTGGCAATAATAAGAACTGTTGTCGATACAAATAATTCTAAAAAAGTAAACTTTATTTAGGAGATTTTTCAAATAAATCTTATAATCATGATTCTGAATCATCATCAATAAGTAGTTCATGTATGGAAACTGGAACTGATGGACAAAATGATTCATTTCGTCAACAAGATGTTGAAGATGATGATGATGAAAATGATAATATTCGTTCATCATTAAATACTAATACAAATAATACAATGATATTAACATATAAATGTTCATTATGTGAATTTACATCAAATGTTTCATGGAATATTCAAAAACATATTAATGATTTACATTCAGGACAAACAAATGCTCATATGTTAACACAATGTCGATCAACAATAAATGATAAAAATCCAAAATTACTAACAAAAAAATCTAAACATAAAAATAGTCATCAAACAACAATAGCAACAGTAACAAAAATTCCAATACGAGCTCCATTATCTCCAACAAGTGCATTAGCTAAAGCAAAATTTTCACCAGCTGTTGAAGAAGCTTTACTTTCATTACAAGGTTCAAAATTAAATGCTGGTCTTTATGCTGTACAACCAAAATTTGGTATCAAACGTTTAAAATGTCGTCATTGTTTTTATCGTTCAAATTGGAAAACTGATATGATTCGACATGTAAGAATACGACATAGTTTAACTGAACCTGATCATAATAAAGGTAAGAAAAACATTAATTACAAGATTTTAATCATTGATTTTAATTAGATATGATTTTGATGACTGAACAAGAAGCACGTGCAACAATTGAAACATATGAAAATACATTTGGAAAAGAATTAAGACGACGTACATTTCGAACATGGAATGATTGGGCTAAAGCTGAAGAAGAATTTACACCTAAAGATGGCTCACTTCAATATGTAAATGAAATGAAAAATAAAATATTTTGTTTTTGAATCATTAATATGTTTTATTTTAGAGTAATACTGGTAGTGGAACATCATCTAATGATCATCATAAACCGAAAAAACATTCTCTAATAACAGGACAAATAAAATTATCATCAACAGTAAATAATGATGAAATAAAACGAATAAATAAACCTAAAGTTAAACATCCATCGAAAACAATAATACAAAATAATATACAATCATTACCAAATAGTACAGAAGTAAAAAAAAACGAAAAATAGAAAATTAATTTATTGTATTTAATTGAAAATTTCTTCTTTTTTTTTTTTTTTTTTAGTTTAAACCATTACCTAATCCATCAAATATTGTTTCTCGTCTTCTATTAACAACATCACCTTCACATACTAATGATGATGATGCACCATTAGATCTTTCACTTAAATCATCATTGAGTATTAAACCAAATCAACAATCGTTATCATCAAAAGAAATCATACAACAAAATGGAGATAATAATAATCAAGAACAACAAAATATGGATGATGATCAAGATGATGAAGATGAAGAAGAAAATTCTGATGGAACTTCAACTGTTATTTATATATGTTCTGTATGTCCATATAAAAGTTCATATTTATCTTCAGTTCAACGTCATTTAACAATTCATTTAACTGGCCAAGGTGTTGTTTGTCCACTTTGTTCTTATGCAACATCATCTCATAATTCAATGATTCGCCATATTAAAACTGTACATCCAACTAGTCAAACAATAATTAAATTTCAATCAGCAACTCGAATCACAGATGCAAATATCATTGAACAACATCAATGTCCATTATGTTCATATCAGTGTGAACGTTCCGAAGCATTAGATCTTCATCGTCGTCTTGAACATGATGATGAGGAATTTGATATTGATTTATCATCAGGTAATGATGATGGTGATCACGAAAATGAAATGGATAATGATGATATACATACACCATTTGATAAAAATAATAATCTATTCCAATGTCCAGTATGTACACCTTCATCAAATACAAATAATTATTCAAATCTTGAACAGTTTACAATGCATGTATTTACTGATCATAATAATTATATGCATAACAATCAATCATGTCCATTTTGTTCATTTATTGCTCACACAACGTCAAAATATACATTAACGGAACATATAAAACTTCATTTTAATGGTACACTTGTTCAACCAGATCCAATTATTGGTATTGAAAATGTAAAAGAGTTATTAATTGAATAAAAAAAAAAAAATTATGCATGACATATATTTACATGTATTTCGAGTTTTTATATTGTTATTATTATTTTTTTTCTCTTTTTTTTCTTCTTCTTATTACGGTGGTAGTTCTACTTTTTTGCTTTAATTCTTTTGTTATGGTAGTGAAAAACAATAATATTAAGAAGAAACAGTATTCAACTGTGTTATTATTCCAAATTGTTTGGTTTCCTTTTTTTTTTTTTGTTTAACCTTGAAAAGTCAATTGTGAGTTTATTCTCGTTTATAAAGAAAAAAAAATATATATATGAATATATATTAAATTGATCTTGTTTTCTTTCTTTCTTTCCTTCTTTTCATTTCAAACAAATATCTTGATACAAGAAAAAGAAAGACGTTATAATCACTGAGAAAAAAAAAGAAAACAAACAAAAAACTCAACAAAGAAAAGATATAAAATGTTCAATTTAATTAATAGTTGCATTATTAAGTTTCTTTTTCTTTTTCTTCTTTCGTTTTTTAATTTGTTTCATAAGAAGATTTTGTTGCTCGATTACTGTTGAATTTTCCAATGGATTTGTTTGATCTATTTGATCAATTATTCGATCGATTGCTGAAACAAGTGGTTTTGTTGAAGTATTCTGTTTACGTCGTTGATGTTTACTTATAATAGGACGAATAATTGATTCAGATGATGTATTACGTGAAGGTAATTGTGCATATTTCGAATCTTCTTTATGATAATCTTCATTAAATGTTTCTGTTGGTTGTAAGATTGCTGTGAATGAAGTTGATGATCGATCGATGAAATATGTTGAATTATTATTATCTTGACTGAGATTATCATTGGTATTATCATTATTATCTTCATCAGAATCGAGAATAATAAATTCTGGTATAGATTTGGATTGAATAGGTGAATCATTTATAAGAATAGGTGAAGAAGATGAAGTAGTATTTACTGGTTTGGTCGATGAAGTTTCAATGATGTCATCTGTAAAGAGATCAAAATAAGTGAAATGATATTTGAGAATATTTTTTTCTATGAAACCAACAATCAATTATTTTTTTTTGTATATATTAAGGACATACAAGATTTAAAAATGAGTTTCGGAAAAAGTTTTATAGGTTATTCATTATTTGCATAATAGATTCGGTTGATATTATATGAAATTGAATATGCATAAAAAACTATCTAAAAGTCTGCGAACTCAGTGTTGAAAAACAATGAAAGGCGCTAATCAACAGTGAAATCACCTAGATGGAGGCTTAGGTTTATTGTTCTCAGAGAGCTTTGCGTCCTTCTTACCAAGAGATTTCAGTTCTCTCTAGAGGAATTATCAAAATTTTCGCCCTCACTTCAGACATAGCCAGTGATGCCGAGCCCCATCTCTCTGAAAACTTTTTTTGGTTAAACCACTACTGTCACTTTTTGTAAAGCTTCAATAACTGAACAGCTATATTGTTGAACACGTATCTACAAGGTACTGTGTGTAAATCTATATATAACCACTCATGGAATGATCTTGAACCAGTTATTAATGACTGTTGGTCTCGAAACATCCGTACGATAGCATGCTAACTACATTGTGATATATATCTGCTTTTATGGCTACCGTGTGGTTAGTTCGTGTGTATGAAGAGCTCAACCAATTGAAAGAAAACACTGTGCGTCAGATCCAAAGTTCTCGATTGTTTTGGAGAGTAAAAGTTGGGGAGGGGGGAGAGCTAAAAACGTTTGACAAAAATTTTATATGAAGAATATAGAAAAACGCATGAATATGCGTTTTCTAGAATTTCGTCATGATTTTATTCAATTCATTGAAAAAGTGTGAATTTTGCTGTCTGTTTCGTATCAGAATTTATTGACAAATATATCTAGAAAGACCAGAAGTCGAGATTCCTAAAAGTTGAAATATGTAAGTCACGTTTTTGGAAAAAAACACATAAAAATTGTTAGAAGAAGTTAGCAAAAACTCTGCTTGAAAACTATCAAAAAAAACTCGTCCGTGTTTGAGCGATTACGCTTCAAAAACTGATCAGATTGAACTGAACTTTTCAGCGAGTACATAACTCATTGTCTTCTACAACATATTAAAAATCAGCCTATTCTGAGATATCACTCCATCGTCGATGTGCTTAAGTGACTGATTTACTCAGATACTCACTCTTCAGTCTTTTTGAAGAACTCTAGATGCAAAAATTCATGTAAATTCTTAGAAAAAAATTCATTTTCGAACTCGTTATTTTAAAGTTGAATTATTTTCAATTTGATGTTCTAAGATTACTACTATGTAGAGCACACGAAATTATTAAACAACTTGTTGGGAAAACTTTCATCTTACTCTTGTACATTATACATTTTGAAAGATTTACTGAATAGCTAACTCTTTGACGGCAGAAAACTTATATGTACGTTTTGAGATTTTATATGAATTGCAGTTATTACAGTCATCTATTTCCACTAGGCCATAACAATACTTTTACTTTCTCTCTAATTTGCTAATATCACACAGCGTCATTGTGTGACACAATTATTCATGTATATCAAGAGGAAACAAGGAATTTTGGATCTAAAGTTATTCGAGAATCTCTGAAAGTTCTATAATCTAAATCTTTTAGAACAACATTGAGCCAAACAGAATTCCATAATATCTTATGAAATTTCAAAACTACTGTTATAAGATAAAGCTGTTGTAATTACTAAAGCTCTACTATTGTATATCATTAAATGTTAAATTTTATGAAATCTGTATTATGATATAAAATTTCAAAGTTCTGCAAGGAACTACTTGACTATGGAATCCGAGAATCTTATGAAGTTGGATGATTCATTACGAAACTCACAGTTACTGTTGACCTATACGTTTCATTTCAAGCTTTTATCGGAAAAAAAAATCAAAATTTCTCCATTTCTCTACAAAAAGAACTGCGTCGTCAAAGGGTTAAGAGGGTCATGTATTAATTAAGAAAAATCAAAAATTTAATCATCAACATTACATAGAATTTCGATCATTCAAAAATCAAACTATATCGAATAATTATAAAGTAATCATAACAATTTATTGCATCAGTACACACAAATAATTATGCTCTTCAAATATTTGTTAATTAAACATATATGTATGTATAACGACTGATTCACAAATAACCGAAAATTTCTCATTAAGAGACATTCAACTTTTTTCATTTTTTCCAATAACAAGAAAATTGTCTAACATAATTTCTATGTTAATTAACACATATTTCAAAATAAGTTTACAAAATTGATTAACATCTACAATAGTGAATAGAAGTCTACCCCTCATCGAACCTTAACTATCATACACGCTGAAGATCTGAAAATTTGCACAAACATACTCTATTATGAATGCAGATCAGCGGCAAAACTTCGCTACGATTGCTTAAGTACAAAGCTAATTACTGGAACATCGTCTGTAATCGTTCTTTACTCGAAGCAAGAGTTCATTTGCAGGCAGATTACTATCTCTGGATGCATCTGAGTAACAATGATCATCAATGTGCTATTCTCTTGTAATACAAGATCTTTTTTCTGACACTTTTAGACGATAATATTGAACTATTACTAACATATGGTTTTCAAAGTACAGCAGATAGGTTTTCTTCAGAATAGTGCCCACAATTTTAGAAAGGATTGATGAACTCCGATGAAATCAATAGCGTAGATAGTAGAAACGCAGCATTTTATAATAAGAGATTGGTTAGCTCAACAAATTCTTTCTTTTCAGAGTTATAAAGTTCAAAAGAACAGATGGGACCATCGAGTAATATCTATCAGAATTCTCTTAGTTAAGTAAGCAATCGAAGTCCTACAGTGCTTCTAATCTATATTCTTAGAGGAGTATACTCACAAACTTTTATAGCTGAAACACGGTCAGATGGAGACTTTTGTCCACTATTGTATGTCAAGTTTGATGGTATCGAGTATCTTTAAGTCTATTCAAAAATATATTATGATTCGAGATGTGTGAAACGACGTTTTCTTTTAGTTCCGATTCCGATGATTTTAATTTTTTAGGTCTAATCTCAATGTGCCAATCTTAACTGAAAATTATTCGAAAATTTCTTCGTGTCAAATCTCAATAAGCATTAAATACACGTTCCTTTTATTGATCTAATCGATAAATCTCATTGCTTCAAGTACTTCCTCCTAAATTTCTTTCAAAAGGTATGATTTATAAAATTGGTCACTCAAATTAACATCTATTATGAGAAGCAGAATACATATACGGGATGACTCATGATTTCTATTTCTAAAAAATATTTAAATATTGCACAAAGCCGACATAGACGTTGTACCTCTACGAAACGTTCTGCTCATCAGTAGATGTCAAGAGAGTGGAAACTTATGAAAACAGATAGTGAAGAATAAGCTTTCATCGCTATCTCTACAAGACTCAAAGACTAAAAAGGATATGCTACTTAAACCATTGTGAAAAACCACATCGTCTATGTAGCAGAAATTGAAAACCAGCATGTCCAAAAACCCACTAGGATGCTACAGATGTATCGACATCTTTATCAGCAGGTCAAATGAACATTGGTATGTTTGTTGTAAGTTTTGGAGCAAGCTGAGTTCAGTTTTTTTTTCGCGATATGCTTGAACACTCATTCATAATGGTGCTTTACAAAAGCACTTTAATGGTGAAACAGGGCTCTGATGTAAAACAGGAGTAAATATGACTAATCGAGAAGTTGATTTGACTGTTATAAGATGAGAAAAGTAAAAAATAAATCATATCGACCTGATTATTATTACTAAGAAAAAATCCTGTTCATTGCATCTCTGCGTGCACGACCACAATAGTAACCAAAATCAATGCCCTATATCTCTAATTATGAAACTGTACGACTTTGTTTTTCTCACTCACATTTAAATAACCTTGAAAGATCATAAACTCGAATAAAATTGTTCTTTTTTTCTTACCACTTTCGGAAATATTATTAATTTGAGTTTTTGATTCATCATTCGTAGTCAAATCAAAAATATGATAACCATTTTCTGTATTATTATGGGTTGAATTAGATTTTTTCTTTTTCGATGTATTTTTTTTAATCTCTTTTCTATAACGTCGTTGAAAATCAGCATAATATTTTGGATTAACATATTCTTTAGGTAGATTCATTTTACATTTAAGCCATTCTGTATGTGCATCACTTGTTCGTTGATATAATTCACGTATTAATATAGTTCGAACATTTTCTATCGTTGAACGAGGATGAAGATGTCCAATGATTGAATCATGTGTACTTGATGGTAATTGTTCTCTAAAAACAAGTGAAAATAATAAAACTAAATTTTTCTTTATTTTTAATTAAATAAATCATACTGTAATAATAAATCTTCTTCATTTTCATCTGAACTTGAAAGTATGACATCTGTTTCTAATGATGGTGTTCTATGAAAAATATCAATCATCAATAGAATTTAAATATTCTTAATTCTAACTTTTTTAATGATGAAGAATTAATATTTGAAAGAGGAATGAAATCACCTAAAGATTGAGCTGCTTTGTTTAATGACGTATTATTTTCATTTTGATTAGTACTTTATAAGAGAACAAAAGAAATTGAAATTTAATATTAGTTAATATAGAAAAAACTTATTTTACTGTTCATTTTCAGTTGAATTATTATTATTTGAATCAGCATATTTCGATGGAAATAATCGTTTAAATATTAAATCTCGTTTTATTTGATAATTTTTCGATGTTTCTTCAATATTATCATCAAAAAAAATGTGCGAATGAGAAGATTTTCGAGTTTCTGTCCGTTCAAAATAACGTGTATAAACAGCCGGAATAAAATCCGACTTTCGACTAAAACTATTCGACATTTAATCTATGATATTGAAATAAAAAAAAACGATGAACCAATAACATCATGGTGATTTTATTGGATAATTTAATAAACAAATTAAATTTTAGTTATTAAAAATTAATTTGTTTTCTAAAATATCTAAATTTTTGTTTTCTTTTATGTAAAAATAAATAATGTTTAAACATAAAATTCGACATTGAGAAAAACAACTATAAATTTATTTATATTGAAAGTAGCGTCCCTATCGTTTTGTTTATTATTGTCAATGATTTAACCCATCTGTTGTTCTGTCGATGAAATTTTTCTTTCTTTTAATAATAATATATTTATTTATTTATTTCTTATTGATACATAAGTAACATGCCTATCAATGAACCAACATCATCAGGTAAAAATAAATTAGGTTTAACATTACCCGAAGTACCAAAAGATTCAAGTGATCAAAATCATAGTGAAAATGGGTATGAAAAAATAATAATTTTAAAAATGAACTACACATTTATGATTTCTTATTCATTTATTTTTAGTATTACAGATGTATGTATTGAACGTTTACAAGAAGAATTTAATCAACTTGAATGTACTGATAAACAAAAAGATCGTATGGAAGAATTTTTTAAAGCAAAACGTGCTGTGGGAGAATTAAAACAAGATGATCTTGTTAATATATATGAATTAGGTCAAGGAAATGGTGGGGTTGTTTATAAAGTTCGTCATAAACCAACAGACAAAATCATGGCTAGAAAGGTTTTTTAACTAGTAAATTAAAATTTTATTTTCATTTGAAAAATTTTTAGATCATTTATTTGGAAGTTAAACCAGCACTGAAAACACAAATTATTCGAGAACTTAAAGTAAATTCGTATTTTTAATTCTTATAATTTATTTAAATAATTACTGTTTAGGTACTTCATCAATGTAATTCACCATATATTGTTGGATTTTATGGAGCATTTGCTGTTGAAGCTCAAATTAGTATTTGTATGGAATATATGGTAAATATAAAGAATAAAGAATTATTCAAAAAAAATGTAGTTGCATTGTATGAGGATTAAGGTGTTATATATATTTTATTCACATGAGCAATTTTTTCTTGAATAGTATTTCTGTCGTTAAGTGATTATGTAGTACGGTAGACTGACGAAATAGAAAGAATATCGATAAGGATAAGGCAATAAATGAACTTATGTCAAGAAAAAAAAATCTAGATTAGAAAGATGTAATACTAAGTATTTTTTTCCTATGATTGTGATCAGCAAGTCTCTTGGAAATTGTGAAGTATATCATGTTAAATTCAATGAAGTTCTAGTTTTGGATTACAAATAAGAATGACAATCATTTCTGACATTTGTGTTAATAATCATAGATTTTTCAATGTTTATATCGCAATTAAACAGGTCTAGAATTATAATGACATTCCCCTAGACTTGTCGATGAGCTATGCGTATTAGTAAAAAAAAAGGATTTATTTCTAGTTTGAAAAATTAGCATAGAAATTTGTTGATGTAAACAAGTAAAACGATAAACTTACTACAACTGTATTGGTCTAAAGAACATTCAACGTCACAATATTTTTCTACAATTTTTATCATTGAAAAAAACAGTTAGGGATAATGAATTCGTAGACTTAACTGATAAATAGAATAATATGTTATACTCGAATATCTATCTATAATGATTTAATATTTTACGTATATTTATTTTAGGATGGTGGTTCATTAGATTTAATTCTAAAAAAAGTCATGCGTATTCCAGAACATATTCTCGGCAAAATAACTGTTGCTGTAAATTGAATAGTATTATTTAAGAAATCAAAATAACATTATTTATTGTCTTAGGTCCTTCGTGGTTTAAGTTATTTACGAGAACGACATCGTATAATGCATCGAGGTAAACTTTTTTTTTGTTTCTAATTTAAATTCTTTTTAAACTTTCAAAATTTAGATATTAAACCATCGAATATTCTTGTGAATCTTCAAGGTAATATTAATTTTTATTATAATATTTTATTTTTATTTAATTATTAATACTGAAAATAGGTGAAATAAAGTTATGTGATTTTGGTGTTAGTGCACAATTAATTGATTCAACATTACACACATTCATTGGCACTCGTTCCTATATGTCGGTAAGAAAGTTCATTTTGTTTTTTGTTTAAATATTACTTTTAATATTTCTTTTTTTTTTCAAAGCCTGAAAGACTTGAAGGTGCGCACTATGGAATCATGAGTGATATATGGTCATTAGGTCTTTCACTTGTCGAAATGGCTGTTGGTCGCTATCCAATTCCACCACCATCAATACCTGATATTGATAATTTGTTTAAAGAAGATCCACTCGGAAATCGACCTCGACCAGAAGGTTATTTTAATATTGATTATTAGCATTTTTTTTTGTCTAATTTAAAAAAACAAAAAAAAAATATTTAGGATTTGGATGTTATAAAGGTTTAGCTATATTTGAACTAATGGAATGGATTGTTAATGAAGCACCACCGAGTTTACCACGATCACATTTTTCATCGGAATTTTGTGATTTTGTTGATCGTTGGTAAGTTTATTTATTTATTTATATTTTAATCTAATTTTATATGATTTATTTTAGTTTAAAAAAAAGTACAAGTGAACGAGCGGATTTAAATATACTTTTAGTATGAAATTTAGAATTTTTTATTAAAGAATTTTATATTTTTCTTTCTTGCTCTTAGCATCATTCATTTTATAAACGATATGAAACCGAAAATGATAATCAAGAAGTTTCATCATGGATACGACAAGCATGTGGAGCTGATACAGACACAATCAATGAAAATAATAATCGACGTAGTGGAAGTGCTATGTAGCTGAAATGAAAGGAAGAAAACATCTAGTCAGATGTGTATTGATATCTTTTATTTTTCTTTTATCAAATGAAAATAAAAATATTTAACTTCTCCTTTCAATGTTGTTCGTCTGTCAATTTAACAGTATATATATATTTTTTTTTTCTTTTTTCTGTCTTTGTACATTTATTGTATTAGTTAATATAAGGAAAATGTATGTTTTATGCAAACAGTAATCTATTCATATGATTTGTCCTTCAATTTTAGAATTTATTTATTTTTATTGTCATTGTTTTACAGTAGTTTATAGAAGAATGAATGAATAACGTAAATGACCTTTGATACTCATTCCACTGGGCCTTCTTTGTTTATGATTTTCATGTTATTGTATGGTGAAAAGACATCAGATCCCCTTCCACCCTCAAAAACTGATTTTAGATCATGTAAATTTAAATCGTGTGATATTTTCAGCTCTAGATCATGACGTTTGAGAGAGATATTCACCAGACAAGAATCAAAAATAGCCCAGTTGACAGTATCTTGATAGCAGATGTTTCGTCGGTTAGATTATAGTTGACATTTCTTCTCATGAAAAGTATTCCACCATGTGGTATTAGGGTATCACATAGTGAAACAGCTACTATAGAAATATCCATTTTGACAACCTAAGGTTCTCTATGGGCCTTCATTCTGTATATCTAATATTTTTTTTTTATTTGGATGTGTATGTCAAAATGTAGAACTTTATAGAGCTTTAGTTTTGCTAAGTTTTTATTTTTCAAACGAAGAAAAATGACGACACGCTGAATACATCGATATACTGTCAAAAAATTGTCATCTATTCATAGAAACAGATTTAGTATAATAATAAAAGAGTTCAATTAAAAAATGACGGTCCCTAACAAATATTGGAGCCTTTCATGCTCTTTCAAGCAAAAAAAAACAATTATTGATCACAATGAACACACTTCGAAAATTCTGAGATGCAGGATCAGATAAGCATAATTAGACAAAAAACGCAAAAAACTTTCGGTTTTCTTTCTGAAAAAGAAGGATATTTTTCAAGCAACAGATAATGGATATTATTCAAAATTTTTAGGAAAAAATGATGTTCCAAATAAAAAGCCATATAGTTTGTGAAAAATCCGATCTCAATCTATTATTTCATGTATTTGTCTTTAATTCCATTAATCTAACGGAAATGCGCTGTTCGTGACTGAGATTTGTTAATTACATGGAAAGAACAATAATGAATGTTTTGGTACGTGTTCTTCTGTCTTAATTCACAAAAGTCAACATTTTAAATATTTAGCTTTTAAATAGTTTTATTACATTAGTAGAAATAATACAATAAATTGATGATTTCTATTTGATATAAATTATTTTTGAACTTTCAATAAATATCAAACAACGAGCGAAATAGTTACCATCGATTTCATTTGAATATTTTTCTCTTATTTTTAATATCACAGATGTGCCGGAAATTGTTTTATCAATAAGGTTATTTTCAGTAAAAAAAATGAACATACTGAATCAATTGCAAAATATTTTTAAAAAATTACTCATCACAATAATCAAATTTTACACATCGATGATAGATTCTTAGCAAATGATTTATGTTTTCAAAGATTTATCAATCATATTGGCGAAGTTTCTAATATTCATATGCAATACTTGAACACAAAATCTAATGAATGCTCCAGAATTCAAGAGGGGTGGGTGTTATCTTCATAACTCGACCATTACAACAGCTAGTAATCTGAAATTTCCAACAATCGAAGGATAAGAACTTCAAATATCTGTCTTTTTCTGATGCTATATAGGACAAAATTACTTTAGAGTCCATCATTTTCACAAAACATTCAAAAAACTGTACAGAAAAGGTATTTAATTTCATAGAACCTTTGATGAAAACTCCGAAAATTTGCTAAAAATCCATAAAAGTCAGTATCATCTGACTGAACAGATACGGAATTTTTTTTCACTCAACATTGAGATTTGAGAAGATTATCCTCTGACTCATGTCTTGAACTATAGATCTAAAGTCTCTTTATCTGAGACACATGTTAAACTCAAAATTACACCAAAACACAATACTGTTTCTATGCAGTTTTTTTTTGAATGTTTCACGAAGATAATTGGTTTACCAATTACTTTATCTTATAAAGTATTAGAGAGCTTACATCTACTTTTCATTAATTCTTATGTGAACATTAGACACTATATTTTTTCTGAATCCTTGAATGTCGCCAGTCGCAAAAGTGTAGCTTATTCTAATTCCAAATCGTTTAATTAGCTACACGATGGTTTTGTAGAATCAATGCGAGATATCGCATTTCTTTTCGTTTTTATTAACAGAAACACATTTTAACTACATTAAATTAAACAGCTGTGTTTTATCAGATCTTCTCTACTATATCTAGCTCAATGTCAAATCTCTTTTTTGTTCGTTATTTATTGCATCATACAACGAGTGAGACATCTGTACTTAATACCGTTGTATTATGTAGGTTTAGTATAATTATCAGATTACAATAATAGTTGTCAGGATAACATATTCTGAAGCGATTTTTAACAAAACCTCATAACTAAAGAGTGTCTCAATTACAATTATAATCATACAAACAAGATTGTTCCAAGCAGGAGAGATGAGCTCATTCAACCATGAAAAATTTTTGTTTTTCTCATACAAAGTTCTAGCATTTTATTGCCTTTTTTTTTTTTTACTCGCGAATATTCCCAAATGCGGTCAACTTTATCAAAAACTTTCTAATCTGTCTCGAATACTTCCGCATTTCTGACGCGACGTCTGGACGTCCCTACATAAAAAGAATATCAAACAAGTCATTTCTATTATATAAATTATAGAAAAAGAATATAATTTTATACATATGTTTATTTTCTTTCGTCAATAATCAATTATTTTTCTTAAACAATTATTAAGAAGCGATAAAAATGATACGAGACAAAAAGAAAAAAAAACATAAATGTAATACTGATAATCTTATTCGATGGACTACGGACGGAGAGATAAAAAAAACAAAGAAAAAGACAAAAAAAAGATATAGAAATATAAAGTATATTTGTCATTGTACAAACGAATATAGTCCTATAATCAATGAATAGAATATATATGGAGAAAGTCTTCTTGTCCGATTAGTAATCTCATTTGTTTCTTGTGATAAGAAGTCTAAATAAATAAATGAATAAAAACATAAATCATTTTATATAATAATAAATTTAATACATACGTGTTGTACTTGATGATTGATATTTATCTGCATTATATTGTTTATATAGACCAAGTGTTGTTGTCATTATTGTTGTAGTTGTTGTTGTTGTATGACGATGTTTTTTTGAAACATGATGATGATTTTGAATAAGTTTTATCGATCGTTCATCTTGACCATAACGATTGATCGCACGACAAATAAAATTTGAATTAAAAAAATGTTTTGGAATATGCTATAAAAAGAAGGAAAAAAGTTCATCTTTGGTTCTATTTTTTGTGAAAACAAATCATTCGTTTACTTTAAGAAAAAGATTTGTTTTCCACCTAGTTGCATTTATCTTTTCTTGTGTAATCGACAAAACTAGATTCTCTCTTCTACTATTATGATTATAAAATCCTTGATGAAAATGATTAGATAAATCCATTTCTTGATTAATATCATTGGTGAATCGATGTAACCACCGTATATCCGGTTCCGGATTAGCATCAATCAAACATTCAAATGTAATTGTATCATCAATTGAATGAAAAGATTTTTCTTTAGGACTATAAACATCTGGCGGAACTAATGAAAAAGACGAACAAAAAAAAGTATAAAGATTAAATTTTGTTAATACTTCGTAAAACTTACATGGAACATCAAGTGTATAAAATCGACCAATTGTACCAATGGTATTAGTTGCTACACATTCATATATGCCATTATGCCAACGATTAACATGATGAAGATTCAATTGACAGGTGGTAGGCGTAGTTGTACAATTGATCATCGTTTTTGGTTGCTCGTCTGATGAAAAAAAACAATAGAAGAATGAAAACAAAAAAAAAGACTCTTATTGTTTTTAATGTATACCATCGATCTTTTTTATCCAACTGAGAAATGGACTTGGTTTGCCATGCGCTTCACATGCAATAGACACATTTTTTCCGATTTGTGTACGTAATAATGTTGTATATTTATCAGTGACAAAATACGGTCGTTCTAATCAAACAAAAAGAAACTGATGTCTCGTTTCCACTTATGAAAAAAGGAATAAGTCAGATTTTCATTTTCTTATTTCTTTCCTGTTCAATATTCATTAGTACTATGAGTGAAAAAAAAAGATCGACACCTAATCATCGTCTCATTTTAATTCCTGTTCTTGTCGTGATCTTGTCCATTTATATTCGAAGAAAACGATTATGTAATCAAATGTTATCAAATGTAATGTATGAATGTCATAAACATATGATGATCATGCTTACCAACAATATTTAAAACGAATAGTTTGATAATTCTATTGTCTTCTTGACATGAATATGTCCCATCATCGGACACACGTACATCAACAATTGTCAATGAATATGTCATTATTTCGTATGACGAGGTACCATTAATAATATGAAGAATAGGACGTTGTTCAATTTGAAAACGTTGATCTGAATTAATTCGACTTGTTGAATAGAAAAATATTTCGGCATCTTCTAAACGTAGCCATAGACCCTGCAACAAAAAAGAATAAGGATCATTAAGTTTGATTATAATCAAATAAAAAGTTCCTTTTTTTCATATTCTCTTTCCTTCAAATGTCAATGATCATTAGACATTACACGACAGGTGAAAAAAAAAGAATGTCATTGATAATTGAACTTACTTTCATATTACCAGACATTGTTGAATTACTTAGTTCGCATTCCATTCGTACCCGTTTGCCCACATTGACAGTAATAAAATCCCGAGATATATGTGAATCATCATGTAAACTATTTGTCATTGTGTGCAAAACGGTTAAAAATAGTGTCGTCATAAGACGACGGATAATCATTTCATCAATATGTAAAAATGATTGTACATCTAAAAGAAAGAGTGAGATCGTAGAAAGAAAAAAGGTTTGATCTTCTCTATCTATTCACGCATGTTTGCTTGCATATATATACATGTATAGATGAATATAGAATAGCCAGAAGCTAATTCTAACACCTCATACACGCTATACTATCGTTGACGTTTGCAACTTTTACTCTTTTTCTTTTTGTCATAATACGAATTTTGCTTCTTTTATAGATATATATATATATATATATTAGAGTCTATGAGCCTCGAGCATATATATATATATAAACGGAAGATTAGTTGTCTTTCGTTTCTATTTTTTTTAACCTTGAATACGTTAGGATATAAAGTAAAAAGACAGCACGCCTGTCTCATGACACGATCAAAATGAATGAATGAACTTATTTTTTTCCAATTTTCATCTCATATATATTCTCATAGATAGTCAGTTGATGTGTGTATGTGATGCGTCATCTCCGCCCATTTCTCGTCGATCATCAACAGTTAATGTGTATCTATGCACGCTTACATATAATACAAACACTACTATACACTAAAAAAAAAAATAGTGAGATGAGAGATTTCAACTGAAGGATGTGTGAATAATAAGTATAGGCAAAAAAAAAGGGGGCAGGGAGCTGGATGACAATAACTCACCTGTAGCTACCAATAACGGATGTCAATGATGATCTGCTTCTGGCAGCACGTCAGCGATGAACCATTCATCTGACACAAGCATAGTCATAAGAAAAAAATTCACCTTTCTTTTCCTTCGTCCACTTTCTCTTCAATGTGTTTTATGAGAGTGAAAGAGACAGAGACACAAAGAGAGAGGGAGAAAGAGAAGGCATAAGAGAGCACGAGAAAGAGGAAGAAAGAGAAGCAGACAGACAACCAAATAATTGGCTCATTGTTATCATTTGCTTCATCATCTTTCCTCATATTCACTAGTTCGAACGCTAATGAACTGTAAATTGATGAGTCGGACGATGATGATGATGATGATGATGATGATGATGGTGATGATGATGATAATGCACCGACTCGATCTGTGGGTATTCGGCGCCGGTATTTGTATCTTGCATGTTGTCAAATAGTAATACATAACTTTTTTTTTATTGTTGCAATCAAGGATCTCAATGTCGGTTGAAAGAATCTCAAAGTGGTCACTATTCACCTACCATAAAACTGAATGAGCACATGCATATATATATATATGAACAATGCCTATACTCACTTCTTGCACGTATTAATCCTTCAAATTCAGTGATTATGCAAGCAGTCTCTCTTCTATCCTTAAATGTCCTTATGGTTTTTTCTGCTCGTTCTTGCTCACTCGCTTACGCGATGAACTAGCAATACTACTACTTACTATTGTGAGAACAAAGCCAGAGAGAATCTCCCTGTTGAATAAGAATGAGAGTAGAAGAAAAAAAACGATGAAAAAAAAATATTTATTGATCGGTGATGGTAGTAGTCTTTTTGTATATATATATATATCAATTGAATTTCCATTTCTTTCTTAAAGACAAAAAAACAAGAACAACTATTGTATGAGTCGCACAACTATTTTCTTTGTTTTGTATATATATATATATACGTTTATGTGTTCATCTGAATGAACACAAAACAAAAGAAAAAGAAAAAGAAAGAGAGACCGGCCAGTACATTAATATCGATCCCTAAAACTCCTATGTACACATAAACATATTACTATTGGATTTTTTTTTGTAAGATGGTATACGATATCTTTTCTCTTTTAATATCGATCAATCACATGATATATATATATATATGTATGTATATATGTTCAATACTCGCTTACTAATTTAGTCAGAGAGCATAAACGAGCTGTTCCCCCTATTCCACTTGACAGTGGCCTCGAGCGTCCACGCACACACACACACATACTACCGACACTTGTTTGGTGGTGATGATAACGAGCTTGTGTCAAGAATATTGGAGAGAAGAGCGAAAACGCTTGAATGGAAGACTAATTGGTCGTGTAGGGTTGCTTTCTACTAACTATTGCTGTTGAGAAAAAGAAGAACCTCCTCTTTCTTCTTCTTCTTCTTCTTCTTCGTCTATACGTATCTTGGCCAATTCGTCATCACTTGATTTATCATTGCTCTAACAAAAGAGTATGAATTAATCTGAAATGAACAGTTCATGAGAAAGAACAAAATATAATGGAGAAAACATGTCGAACTGATATTGCGTGGCTCTCATTTTATTGCCTGTCAGACTATCTAATTTCCTTTCTGTTCATTCTACGTTCATTTGTATCAATCGACTGGCTACTTACGCCCAAAAAAGAAGAAAGACATCGAACATAAGCGAGAGAGAAGAATACGTCATTATATACTTTGAAGACCATGATCAATTATGGTATCGCAAGGTAAATGATGACGATTGACGATGATCGAAACGAACAGTACACATAAGGCTATGATTTGAATAGAATATTTTCCTCGACTTGACCACATGCGGCACATGTATATACTCAGCATGGTCTCTACTCAATTGACGACTTCCCACAACGATAGTCTCTTCTTCTTCATCTTTTATTTGCAAGTTGTTTAGACAAAGAACAAGCTAATCATCATTCCGACATTCCCGACACACAACTGTTCTATCCATCTGTACAATGATTCTATGTCTAGATACGTTTTCTTTTCTTTTTAAGACTAACAAACATAGAATATTAAAAACAAAGAAAATGTCTGATTTAAATCAAAATTCTATATAAAGTTAATTTTTGATTAACATAATATGTTCTGTTTTGCTTCAAATTATCATTAAGAATTAGCTATTACTTTAGTTGCATTATACAGAAAAAGAAACATCCGGCACTTGTCGTCATCGTCGCCGTCATCAGTTTTTTCTGTCACGCTAAATCATGCATGCAAGTGATGGTTGTGTCTGTGTGTGTACTTCTATGATAAAACTCAGAACACGATTTTGTACTATGGGGAACAAACGAAAGAGATTATGCAACTTTTGTGCATCATATTAACTGTGCAGTTTGTTTCACAATTTCCCTTGGAGTACTATGTGTCTGTTTCTTCTCTTTTTTTTTTCTATTACATTAAATATGATCAGCATCACACTTCATTATTGTTTTCTTCATTGGCAAATGTAGGATGATGACGATGACGATTTGAGAATACTGTTGAAAGCAATCAAATAGTTGTCGGCAATCTCATATTACAATAAGAAAAAAGACGAAGAAGAAATAAAATAAGAGGATCAACTGATTTCATTTTGTGTTATTCTTTGTAAGATATTAAAATACGATCTTATATACTTCAATCGGTATTGTTCATAAGAATATAAGTAATGTTTTTTTTAGAGAATAGATGAACAACCATCAAATAGTTTGAAAAGCTTACTTTCAAATAAATATTATCATAGGTGACACTAGTTGGTATGAATTTTTCGTTGTTCTTCCGTATATTACATGGATTTACCCACTATCGAATCAAAAAAATTTTAAGATGTTTATTTATCCAAACAAAATCTTTTTTCTTTTTGTTCAAAATAAAACATCAAATATTCATATTAATAGAATCATTGTTTTTTTTTTCCTATACTTCAGTTTATTATCAATGTGTGCAGCTCTATCACCAACACCACCAAATTCATCAACAAATTCATCACTTTCACATTCTGGTAAAAATGAATATTGAAAGAATATTTCTTTTTCAAATAAATATTTTTATTTTTGAAAAAAGATCATCAAACAACTGATGAAAAAAATGGTTCTATTGATAATAACAATAATAATAAATTTCAACAGCCAGCATTTCTTCGTTCATTTGAAGCTGAATTAGATAAAGTAGATGAATATTTTCAAACAAAAGCACCTGATGTTCGACAAGCTATACTTGATAGTTTACAACGCATGTATAATCAAAATGAATGGCATGATAATCCACTAACAATTATTTGTCGTGATCTTGATGTTCATGTAAGAATTATTGTTTTTTTTTGAGTCATTAATTTTACATGTTGTTTTTTGTTTTACAAGGTACCAACACCTGAACAATTAATGGAATTAAAAGCAACACGTGACGCATTAAAAGCTGAATATGATGCTTTACGTCAATCAGTGAACAATTGATTTTGTATCATTATTATTTATTGTTTTTTTTTTCTTTTTGTCGCAAAATATTCAACAATCATTTGTTTCTTCTAGTCGAAAAGATAAATAAAAAAAAAAAAAAGAAATAGATAAACCGGTTTGTTTTTTGTTTTCGGTCTTAAAATTTTTTTTGTTCTTTGGGCTCTACTTTTTTCTTTTGATGTCGATGTATTTTGTGTCTTTAATTCTCTCAGGAACTTGTCATTCTTTAGTGTGTGCTTGTACATAACTTTTCTTTTGTCATTTCATTTCTTTTTTGTTTTGTTTTTTTTTGATGATTAGAAATACACTTACGAGTTAAAAAAAAGAATAAAAAGGACAGATATTTATTTCAGATCATAATAATTATTCTTAATCTTGTTTATTTTCAATGGATACAACATCGAAGACAGATAATGAAAAACAAATATCACAGGATTTGGAAAATAAATATCGATTACCAACCGAAAGTAAAAAGCAATGGGAATTACGAAAACGTTTTCTTGAAACATATTGGGAAAAATACGATGAAGATCGTTTATTATGTTTAGCTCGTTAGTAGATTTAAATGTACTTAAAAAATAAATTATTTTATTGTCTTTCAGAATGTTACGTCAATATGCGATGTTTGGGATGTAAATATTCAAAATCACTTGATTCATTAATTGAAGAACTTGCAAAAGAAATTGAATAAAAATTATCTCAATTGTTTAAATAGTCTAACGTTGCTTTGTCATTATTGTTATTTATGATTAAAAAATGAAATCATTTATTGAAAATCTTATTGATTTTGTTTTACTATTCGCACAATGAAAAAG